CGTATAAGCTTGTCAAAATCATGCGTTCATACTATAATATACTTGTTTAGTAGTACTTGTTAATGTATGCACGAGCATCTCAGCATCTGCGGTATGTGACTCTTAAACATCAGCAATAGATTGTCCTACAGGACTGAAAAATGCATGTTTTTTAGGATGTAACTGTGACTCGAATCGTAATGAGTGGAACACAGATGGTGGACTTCTAGACACGACAAGACGTGGCTCCCTGTGATGCGATTGAGAGTTCGGCCGACACTGCAAGGCGTGCAGAGAGGAATTCACTACCTTCGGTCCTTAATTGTGCCTTTGCATGGTTGAGCATTATCTGACTAAGATAGCAGCATAGGAAATATACAGGCAGAAAAGCACAATACAAATATGTCGTTTATGCCTACACTAATGCTAAGAATATTTTTTAAAACCTATACTATACTATATAGGGATTAGTCATAACGTATTAACTGTATAAGATGACATGTATTGTATGTGTGCGCTACGAAATTTGCATATCTTATGTCCAAATAGCCAATGGATCCAAAAAATCTTCACCATGTTGGGGACATGATACAATGGACATAAGATAGAAATTCGTGGCCACACACGATATACATATATCTTGTAACATCATGTACTATCTTGTGCATCTGTGTCAGTCATGTCATCTTGCTAACATCTTGTACATCACTAATCTTCTACAATTTTAGTACTCTTAGTACGACATGTAATCGCATGATGCTAATTGGTCTAAATGGTGGAAGTTTTTGGACCACTCATGCATTAAGCTATACTTGCTGCTTCATCTGTGAAAATTACTTAATTATATTGTTAGCTTTCATCTGACATAGTCAGATGCCCAGTATGTAGAAATACGCAATGATCGTCCGTCCGCAGACCGCGTGTCCCCTGTCCGTCCGTCTGTGCGTCCGGTCGTCGCGTCCGTCCGTACCGGTCCCGTCAAACCAGTTCTGGCGCACAAATCTTAAACGCTCGACGTACGGTCACGATATTCGGCACATTGGGCGGGATCGTCAAAAACGAGTTGTGGATGTCGGGAAGCTGCGGGCGCTCAAAGGTCAAAGGTCAAGAGGTTAAGAAGGGGGAACATTCACTCCTAACTTAGGATATAGGGAGGAAAAATGCAGAATTGCGGCACAAATCTAAAACGGCTCGACCTAGGCCTCCGTGATAGTTGGTGCTATAGCCATCAATGGTAGGAAAGCCATCACTGTGACTGAAATTGGAGTCCACAGGTCAAAGGGTCATGGGCCTAGGGCAATTTTTAGACATTTTCTCGAGGACCATGGGTCTGACGGACGATTGAATTTTTTGTTTCAGCCGGTGGACCTAGCATTTTATGGGCATTAATTGAAAGCCGACATTGAAATCTACTTTCTGCTGACATGCGATAGAGTAAGTGTCAGATAACCTTTTGACTTCAAGAGGAGGTTCGTTAAACTGGATTTGTTGACTGTCTGTTAGATAGAAGAATTTGACTGCTGGGTTTGCTAGTAGAAATCTATACGATGCCTGGATGTATGAGGCTACAATGTCAAGTTAAATTTTCAAAAAGCTAAATTTTGGTTAAGATGGTGTATGTTCCTTAAATGTAGAATTTCTTATGGCATTCTGTACTGTCCAGTATTTACATGTAAACGTATGCCACTGCCATGGCTGCTGCCAGTGCATGTGTTGGTGCAGTTTTTGCCTGCGTATATGGTTACAGGTGCAGCTCTCTATTGCAGTCTGTAGGCTTGCGTAGGTAAGATGGAATGAGTGCTTTACCATGATCTGTCTTAAATAGTTGTTGCTACTATTGTTCGTACGGATCAGAGGCTTCCATCTTTTAATCTGATGACACTTAAACGTGCACGCGCCATCTCGCTGGCCAACTTTCATAACGATCCCAAACGAACATTCCTTTGAGAAGCGTCCTGATACCATCCCTGTGCATTCCACTGTTTCGCGTGTATGTGAACACAGTTTGGGACTAACAGGTTTACCTAGAATCCCAACCACTCCACCACAGAGTTCACCGCAGCTAGACGTTTAGATGAGCGCTGTCGCTCCGGCGCACTTGTCTTATGGAATGCCATGAAATTTGATTAGGTTGCTGGAGAATCAATTCAGGAGCATATGGTGTTATAAAATCATTTCCATTACAGCATGGTGACAGTGTTGCATTTACGGCTCCACCACTATGTCTGTGAACAAAGTAATCTGGATTTTAGCCGATAATTCCAAAGCAAAAAGTAAGTTGGCTTCCAATCGATGACTGTATGATCTAACATTTATTACTTGTTCGTGAGTTTTCGTTCTTAGTTGGCTATATGATTAATCCTTATGTTGACTTATTTTTGCATAATCTCTGCATCGCCTATACATATATAGCCTGTATGTTAATGAATCTAGGTACATATTCAGGGTAATATAAAATAATGGTTTTCTTATGGTTTAAGGTGTCTCCTCGCAACAAATAAGGCAGCTAATTGCTATGTCAAACAGCTGTGAGCAGTACCTGAGATATGAGTGCAAGGGAAGTCTTATTCATAGCAGCATGTATGCAGATGTCGTGTAAGTAATAATTATTCTAGTTGAAGTAAATGTTGTTGAGATTTAAAAAAACAGTAGGTAAATTTTTTTTCCCCATTTTGAACGGTATAATTCGGCGCTATTTCTTCCTAATGAGACCTGTGCATCAAAATGGTTATGGTTGGTCACTCTGCACTTGCGCAAACAAATACTGTATACTAAAAACATTGTAATGTTTGTGATACATGTGATGTGATACTTAACGTGATTGTAGCTATGCAAGGTGGGAGTCAGGAGATGGTGTTGTAGAGAAGTACTGGCCTGGAGCAGAACCAAAAGGACCCGAAGATGAGGAGAGATGTGCTTGTGGGGCAGCAGGTCGTCCAAACACTTGTGTCAATCCAGATAAGTTGTAAGTTCTAACTCTGTTTTCTCTTTTGAATAGCAGATGAAATAAATATTTTATGTGTTAGCTAGGGTCAGAAATTGACTTTTTTGACAGGCAGCAAGTATTTTCAGCCAGAGAAAAACAGGAGGTAGCAAATATACTCGCACAGGCAGAAACTTATAAAAACCATAGCAGTTCCACCCCTATAACCCCCAAAGTACTACCCTATTACCTCTGCCCATGCATACGGTACCTGATTTGGCCTACTATAGCCCTGTTTTTCTTGATTGGTTTATTTTAATGTTGTGACATATTCCTAACCCAAGTTGCACATCGAATTAATTACGGATGATAACGTGGGGTTAACACAATTTAAAAAACTAGACAGAGTGCACTCACGGAGAGTGCATACCTCCGCCATCGACATACGCCATACGACTCACGAACACATACGGCTCGCTCACATGTACACGCTCGCTGGCTCACTGCGCTGGCTGGCTCGCTGGCTGACGTGCTAATATCGATCGCGCGAACACACTAACACACGAGAGCGAAAACATAACCTCCTCCAACTTCGTTGGGCGGAGGTAAAAAACCTAAATATCTGGCCATTGTTTGCAACTGAAATTGTCTGTAACTTGGGTGCTTTTTTCTTTAGTTTACTACAAATCTCTTGACATCCTGCATTAAGTGCAGGCAGCAACCTGACCATTGTATGCAGCACAACTATTGCTTTCTCCCATAATTTCGAAACCCTGTCTTGCAACCTATACATAAATTAATAGTTAACTGTATACACACCAGTGTAAGTGTTGTTTGTGTCATTTGTATCATTAATGCGCACTAGCCAAATTTATTAAAGGACAATTGAAGTCAAATTTCATAACTTCTGTAACGTTTTTATACATAGAAATACATTACAAAATCGTTATCCATTTTAAAAATCCTTTAGTATAAACAGCCATGAATAGTTTATTAGTGTTACTATAGTCGAGGGTTATGTGACGTCGCGGACAATTTCGAGAGACACAACCATTATGTAACATAAGTGGGCGTGTGTGGTTACATATTCGATGTTTAGCTAGCATCTGACATAGAGTCAGAATCTGAGCAGCTTGTAGAATGCGCATGACCGCGTGACCTCGTGCTTCGTCCGTGGGCCGGTTTCGCCGTCGGGTCGTGGCCCGTCCAGCTAGCCGTCCGTCGTCAACAGTATGGGCCACAATCTTAACCAGCGTCGACGTACGGTCACGATATTCGGTGGCCGGGCGTCGCTGGGTGGGGCATCGTCAAGGAAACGAGTTGGGATGTCGAAGCTTGGGGCGTGCAAACGGTCAAAGGGTCAAGAGTGTAAAAGAAGGGGGGAACATTCACTCCTTAACTTTAAGCGTATAGGGAGGAAATGATAATTGCGGCATCCAAATCTAAACGGGCTCGAGCCCTAGGGCTGCGTGAGGTTCGGTGTAGTAGCATCATGGTAGGAAAAGCCATCACCTGGTGCTTGAAATTGAGTCACAGGGTCAAAGGTCAATGGGGGACACACGGGCAGAGTTTTAGACATGTTTGCTGAGGACTATGGTCTACGGAAGGCGATTGAAAAAGCATGTTGTTGTTTCAGCGGTGACCTAGCATTTTTAGCCTGATTGAGACAGGACCAGTGAAATGTCCCGTTCTGCTGACATGCGCAGAGAGAAGTGTCGGATGACCTTTGGACCCTCAAGAGGAGGGTTAAAGCATGGATTTGTTGACTGTTACGACAAAGGATTGGAACTGCGGCTATTGAGAGAGCGCGGCAGGGCGCGCCCGCGCGGCCGCGCGGACCCACGGGGGTCCCCAGCCGCCCCTTCCCGAGCCACCCTCCCCACCGCCCCTGCCGCCCCACCGTCCCCCCGTACGCCTCCTCTGCGATAGTGGGGCGTGTCCTAACAATGACGGCGTACGGCAACGCGTGTCTGCAGTATCTGCGCGCTAACAGAATGTGTACTCCCACGACTGAAATTTTACGTTTATTAATCGTAGCAACAGACGCTCAGATGACCCACGAGACGCTCTGGCGGGCGCGTTGTTTGTTATGTCCATGCTTATGGTTTATCAATGGTCCCGAAGACACTAAACATGTAGCCTGTAGTGTACTGTAGATTCAATGGTAGCATAGCATTGAGACTCTGTGTGGGTATGCCAGGGTTGCTCCCTACGGGTTGTGCGCAACGACGGCGCGCGCCGCCCAGTTTGGAAACTCCCCGCTGTGAATGCGTTGGCGGCCCCGTTGGGAAAACGTCCCCCGTTTGAAACTGCGTTGGCGCCGCCCGTGGGAAAACCCCCACGAATCCTCCCACCACAATAAAAGTTGCTCAGCGCGGGAACGATCGTCAGAGGAGTTGCCGTTCGACCAGGACATTCCCCGCGGCGGTGATTTTAAGTACCACGCATCGTACTGGAAGACCATACACCAGTTGAACCTGTCACGTGAACGGTACACACCGACGGCGTATGCTCTTATATAACAAGAACCCAAATAGCCGTCTGATGTGTGGTGGCTATTTTAGAGCTTAATTAGTGCCGTACGGTACAAAGTATCACGCCCAGCCCGGACCGCCGCCTATGTTTCTGCCAGCCCCGCCGCCTCGCGCCCTAGTTGTCCCCTCCCTTCCGCCGCTCCCCCCACCCCTGCCCCTGCCCCGCTGTTGAAATTTCATGCCTGGGAGAAACCCTGTAGATGCATTCAGCGGTATATGTAATGATTTGCGGTAGATACATGTACATACACGTACAGCACAGGGATTCTGACCGACGTGGGGCGTGCATAAGGCCCAGTGAACAGTGGTACTCGCATGACGTCAATTGTCTAAAGGTCGAGACTGTCTACATAACGTCTGGTCTTTGTCATTCTCATGGCTAGCAATGAGTACAGTGTAAGGGTCGTACTCAATTTATTAACAAACACTACACGAGAGACATCCAGTCATTGGTTCGTACAGTCGCTATCTGGTACCGAGGCTTCCATTCCGCCATGTGTGACTGTTCTGATTCTTAGAAGTTTGTGGCCGACTCTTCGCGTTGGCTTTTTCAGATCGATTCCTCGCCTATTCTTCTTGGTGTGATATTCAGGCCAAGACGGCATATCCAATCTGTTAATCACTATGAAATATCTATGATCATCTGAGTAAATCACGTAGAATCATGTGAAATTATCGCGTGTAGTGTCTCCATCACAGACACTCAGCTTTAGCATGGCGCTCGTGCCGTTCAAAGGTGTGTGGACGTCACATGGACTAGACAAAATTCATGTGTTTATTACTAATTGGGCGCGGATTGTGTGAAAGATGACATACGTTATTGAAGTGTTTCTATGCTGATAGGAACGTTACAGAAGGTTATGAAAATGGCGTTCGAGATTGTCGGTTTAACAGACGTGAAGACAAAGAGGTCATGTCTATGTGTACAACGACTTGGGGTTGAATTGGGGCAACAATTTCAGTGACATTTCTCGCAGAATCCCAGAAGTGTCATTTATCGGATATGTCATTCCCTATGCGAGAGTTTGTGTGATTACATGTTTATAATAATAGACACGTAGTCTAATTAAGTTCACTAAACTCGATTTTCTGTATTTTAGCTGCAACTGCGATGCCAACCTGAACTCATGGCAGCAGGACTTCGGACTTGTTAACAATAAGGATCACCTTCCGATTACTCGTGTTAAGTTTGGTGACACTCTTGGTGATGAGGAGGAAGGATATCATTTTGTTGGCCCTTTGGTGTGTTATGATGGCAAGTTTTCATTAGATTTTCTTATATTTGTAAAACGTATGCCCAAATATGTCATCACCGGTGTGAAGTCATGTCTGTCCTCTTATTATGTATTTCTTGATTTTAGCAAAGGTCACGACAATTCTGTGAAATGACAGCTTTAACATATTTGTCAAAATCACATTGAGGGTGTCATTATTTTCACAACCTTATTAATAAACATTAAACACTCGTACATTGAACATGTCCAACACGTATTTATAACTTGTTTTATAAGTCAGTGAAGCTACTAAATGTTGCGCTGTGCCATTTGCAATTAGGTTTATCATTAATGTAAATATTATGTTGTTCACTGCAGGAAGGGAACCACTGAATCTCTATGAGCCAGAGTTGTGCATAGGTACGCCAGCTGATACCAGGAGTGGAGATGTTATCCCGGAATACAAGACCAGAGAAGGTGACGAGCTTTGTCTGCCAAAGGTGTTATCGCTCTGACTTTATACAACTTGAGAGTTGTTTGTAAATGTTGCATATTACAGTATTACTTGGCATTGCTAGACAGCTGTTGCTGTATTTTGCCCATCTAGTTGGCAAATAATGTGGCAATGTTCTATTTTATACCAGTTCTTTTACATATAAAATAAAAACTCGTAAGTCAGTTTCATTATTACTTTTAACAATTTTCTGTGTGCATACCTGGACATAGTATCTCAGGATCTCGATATTGGAGAAGTCATGCATTTACGGAATTTTGTTTTGTATGTGGAATTTTCAATTTAGTATACGTGTTGCTG